TGATATTTTAGTCTAGAAGGTTTCATAACTTTATTCGAATATATTTTTTTCATAAAGAAGCCACATATGCGAAGATGGATTTGTAAAATTTTCAATGAAATTTAATGTATTCTGCACTATATTTCCGACACTTCTTTTTTGTCTCCTACATGGTTTCTCCTTTTTAGGCCGGTACTAGCTAATCAGACTTGCCACATACTCTTGCCAGCTGACATCTGTTGCCACCAAAAATAGTTTTTTGACATTTTCTCCATTTTTCGGTTTCCTAACAGTAGAACTGAGATATTACTTTAAAAATATTAAAGAAGAGTAAAAGCTAGTCCTAAATGGCAATTTGCATTGAAAAATTTGGAGCTGTTTGTCGTTCAACCATTACTTTAAAAGCGAAATTTGAAACTATTTTTCACATGAATCTTTTGCATTTTCGAAAAACGTCATTTAAAGTCATTTTATGTACATTGATTCATAAATTGAAAATTGTTTACAAATTGAAGAAAATATGCATGAGGCTTGAGAGGTATTAGAAAAATACATTTGTGCAATTTTTAAAAAAACAAAATAATACAGCAAAATAAACTTTTTGTGAAATTAAACAGTGCTATTAGTACTATCCGTTAGAAATGGTTGAATAAAAAATTGCTGAATATTAAGTTTATTGTCACAGAAAACTGTTGAGTATCAAAGATACTTTATGTACTCATAAATGCAAGAATATGAACAAAAGCACGCTAATGTAAATATTAAATACGAGAGACAAGTCAAAAAAGTATACTTTGTAATTTTTGTAACTTTGTAATTTAAAAAAGAACAAAAGAATAAACAATATGTTTATATCATCCAATAGAGTACATTTGGCACTAACCCTACCAAAAATGTAAAGAAAAAATCTTCAGCAGCTTTTGAGTAAATCTTGTTCTTGTTGCTTTTTATTATTGCCTATATTGCACGAAATATTGTGCGAAAAATTCCAAAATTGCAAAACAATGTACATTACATTAATGAAAGAAATAACTATGGAGATAAAATTTTACTTGAAAAAAATCACTATTTTCAATTTTGTAGTTGTAGGAAGACGCCGAAAACAAGTCAAGCTTCAAACGTTTGGATAATTCAGCAAAAATCGAACCTCCGCCACCCTTATAAGAGTATTTTACTCTATTTTTATAAGAAATTTAAAGAAAAAAATTTGAGCCGTTTTAGAGAAAATGTCGAAAATGTCCCTGGGGCTTGACGTAAAGTACCCCCAAATTTTACAGAATGTTTTTCAAAATCACAGCGCCTCACGTCGAGCCTGATAGCAGAATATCCATTTTCAAAAAAATCTCACGTATGGTTTAGGCGCTAGGGGTGTTCACAGACGGACAGACAGACAATCGAACGGACGTTTTGAAAAACAAAACTTTTTCTGTATCAGGAGACCCCCAAAGGTGTCTTTTTGTTGAAATCTCGAAATCGATTTTCCGCAGCATTACATAACTTTTTCTATTCTACGTATATTACTCAGTATATGTGTACGTAAACGAGAAAGTAAAAATACATTACACGCTCTTATACAATATTAAAATACTGCACGACTAACAGGAATACGGCAAATATGCCTAAAATTGCTGAACTGTTGTTTAGGAGACCCCTTGGTTCATCTGGGCGGTCAGATTCTCTTAGCTGCCGTACATATCTCCACCGCCAACAATTCTTCCATGTCTATGGTCCGTTGCGCCACATTTGCCCCACCGCCGGATTTGTATACGGACAATTTTGCCATGCACGGTATACTGTAACCACGGCAGCACTTATACACTTTCCAAGCTTAGCCGTAGCGGAAATGCTTCCGCCCTCGGCCCGCAAGCTAATGATCATGCCCTTAGGACGCCTAAAAAATAAATCGCTTAGTTGTCCGCTTCCCGCCGTCATGCTTTATATACCCTCCACTGTCAGTGCTGCCACCTGCCTCGGCGAGGAATTATTGTACGTTACGTCCAACATGGGCGGTGTTCACTTTAATGTGACTGGACTGGCTATAACCATATTACAAGCTTCACATTGGACGAGCTGGTTTTTGAAACAACCTTTCGAAGGGAGCAGTAAGCGGATGGGTCTCAGAACGGAGTAATATTACTGGAATTTCTTGGCCAATCCTGCTTTTGTAATTTTGGTGCATCATGAAACGTGGCCCCACAAGCTACCTTCGTTTCAGAGGGAAGATCGAAAAAA